CATGCACCAAAGAAAAGCACGGATCCACGATGAGCACAAAAAGCACATATCATGCACCAAAGAAAAGCATGGATCCACGATGAGCAAGAAAAGCACGGATCGACGATGAGCACGTGATCATGCACCGAAGAAAAGCACAGATCCACGATGAGCACGAAAAGCACGTATCCACGATGAGCACCGAGCACCAAAAGCATGGAACGACGATGAGCGCGTGATCATGCACCAAAGAAAAGCACGGATCCGTGATCAGCACGTGATCATGCACCAAAGCACGGATCCACGATCAGCTCGTGACGAAAAGCACGGATCCACGATGAGCACCGAGCACCAAAGAGCACAGTCAGAGAGAGAGAGAGAGAGAGAGAGAGAGAGAGAGAGAGAGAGAGAGAGAGAGAGCACGATGAGCACGTTGTGTGCCATCGTGTGCCGTCGCGTGCCATAGCCTGCCGTAGCGTGCCGTCGCGTGCCGTAGCAGCCGAGACAATTGAGAAGCCCACACCTTCGAAGGGGCGGCCGAGACAATTGAGAAGCCCGCCCCTTCGAAGGGCGATTTCAGGGCTGGGCGCGGGCGCGCATTCAGAAGGGCCGTTTGCGCAGGCCGAACCGGTATCGCACGGCCCAGATTGCAGGCCGGTCACCACCTGCGGACGATCCAGATCGCAGGCCGATGAGAAAAGTTTCTCATCGGCCTGCGATCTGGGCCGTCCGCGGGTGGTGACCGGGCCGCAACCTGGGCCGGTAGATATGACGTTAGTGATTCTTGATGTAGATGTAGATGTAGATGTAGAAGGTTGTTGCTCTTTCCAGCTGAGCTAAGAATGCAACTCAAACCCAAAAGAGTCGACGCAGCCGCCACAACAAAAAACAAGCAGCTTGTCGGCCCGGCTCATTTTCAGAAAGTTTCAAGTTCCAATGGAACAGCCAAGGTTTACAAGAGGAGAGTGGGAGGCTTTCCAAGTATAACTAGCAAGCCACAAGTAACACTATAATAATTTTTTTGCGCGAAAAAAAGAAAAAACTGGCAAAGTGAGAAAAACTATGATGGCAGAAACAGCGCTAGATGGTAGAATTACTGCATGAGTCAGTGCCTTGAGATTCACAGCAGACTGTCGAAATTCTACTAGATATGAGGAGAGGATGTGGAGAATGATGATGACATTCTTGATCTCCACCCATGTTTCCCAGCAAGAGAAGCTTCCCCGGGAAAGAACCTCCATTGTTCAAAACCAGTGACAGAAAGATAAAGACACTGATAGAAGGGGACAGATTTCTCTGAGAATATTTTTTTCTTACCTCATTCTTTATCCGTCGTTCCTCCATTTCTTCAGCACGCTTGCCTTTGCAAAGGACGATTGCTGCCTCCATCTGACTCTCCAAGAACTGTTTCATACTATCAGCATCAAGGATATCATCACATAGGCACTTCAGCAGTGCAAGATGGCTCTCACAATCCAACTCCCAGTAATTAACACAACCCAACTTCTGCACTGCCTGCTTCACAGTCTTACACAGCTGGTAGTAGCCCCTTACAAAATACCTGCAGAAACAAAACCACCCCTGTTGAACATATCACTACAAGGAATGATGAATGCATTGGTTTTAGCAGAGTCCCAAACACTCCATGCACATTTGTAGGTGCTGCTACATTCACTTGTGGAAAATTATTAAGGAAGACCACTGACCAGAGAAAAGAACACAGCACGTCACAAGAAACATACCTCCTAACTAGCTCTGGCCATGTGGTCGAGTCAAGAAGTCGTGCCCAGCGAGCAAGGGTCTCTTCGCTCACACCTGCTCCCTCCCGACCACCAGGGGTCTGTCCGGCTCCAATGTCAAGCAACGCCCTAAGAAGACTCACATACAGATCCCCCAACATATGGCTTCTGCTGGAAATGCTGACTGCAGTCATGAATTCAACAAGGCCCAGCTGTGGGCACTTCAGCTTCTTCCCAACACCTTGGCAGAAGTCCCACACTTCCAGCATAGTCCCAAACAACCAAGGCGTCAACTTTCCAGCCCCAAATGCACTGGGTACAAGAAGCCGTTCCACAGGCTGCGGCTCTGGACGCTGCTGTTTAACCAAGGCCAGGCAAGGGGCACCCTCTATGCCTGATGCAGCCTCATTTGCTTCTTCGTCATCCTGTAGCTCCAGATCCTCCACTGGATATTGCCAGTTCCTCCGCTTTGCCATCATCTTTTCATTCCTTCTTCTCTCCCGCTCCTCCACACGGTGCCTGGACTTCTCTTCCCGGTCTTCCTGTAACGGCACAGTCAATTTTTGCAAACAGAAATGAGTCAACCCAGGCAGAAGTGGGCAATGTGCGAGAAGCAGTTAACCAGAGCCCCAAATTTTCAGGGTTTTTCTCATGGTTTTTCACTTTCTATAGCCCTACTCCCACACCTTTTAAACCAAAAACTCGTCACCAATCCAAATGCCCTTTTCATCGCTTGGGGGGTTAACCTATAGGCAGAAAAGTGGGGTTCCCCTGTTAACCACTTGTGCAATTAAACACAAAGAACTTGAAAGAAGTGAGAACATGATACAGGACAAACCATACCAACAACATGATACGGTTGTCTGGACCGGCCATATAGATGCAGACACTCAACCAGGAGAAAGGACAGTCACCAACATCTCCTACAGGCCGGTTGTGGACATTCCCCTTGGTCAGTCAGTGGACATAGTGCGCCTGGCGCTCTTGCACAGACATCTGCAAATCGGCGGTTGTGGTTGTGAATGCGAAAGTGCTGCGGAATGATTGTGGACAGTATAAACCCTGTTTTCCATTTTGCTTTTTCCTTTCTTTTTTGCCCCGACCATTGTGCGGGGAGGCAGTCCAGGTTGCTCATCATCGGCAAGCATGAAACAAACCCTTTTTGTGACCTCCAATCACTTTTAAGCCCTTCTTTTTTTTGCTTTTTTGCTTTTTTTTGCCCCAGCCATTGTGGGGGGAGGCAGTCCGGTCGCTCATCGCCGGCAAGCATGAAACAAACCCTTTTCGTGACCTCCAATCGCTTTAAAGTTTAAACAATTCACTTGGTCAATCAATGGAGATAGTGTGCCTGGCGCTCTTGGACAGACATCTGCAAATCGGTGAACAGGTTCACACTCCAATCGCTTTAACATTTAAACAATCCCCTTGGTCAATCAATGGAGATAGTGTGCCTGGCGTTCTTGAACAGACATCTGCAAATCGGTGAACAGGTTCACACTCTACCAGGTGGGTGGATTCCAGCAGTGTCAATTATCATTTTGACAACTCGGCGGCTTAAACCACCACTCCAATGGCCCCTGCACTGTTCGTTTTTCTTATCTATAATTACCGGGCCAAAATCTACAGTGCCCAGGTCCGGTAGAGGTTCGGTGCGGAAGCGTACCACAACTATTTTTTCTCATGGCCGCACTGTCGATTTTAGGCTCAGGAATGCAACTTTGGGTTTGTCAAAATAGGTCGGATGGAGTGGTGGTTTAAGCGCGTAAGCGGGAAGGGAGCTGACCAAGGACCAGAAGCGGGGAGGTCCAAGCAGCCAGAAAAGGATAACAACAGAACTATCAAAGGTCGCAGACCGGAGTGCAGAAGGGTTTCAGCGCAAGTGTCAAAAAACACAGGGAGAGATCTTCCTCCCTCTGGTGAAGTTAGTTAATTGCCTACCACAAGATAAACAGGTTGGAAGCTTCCCATCACCAGTGAGGTTGCCCACAAGAGGCAATTCATGGACAACAGCACAGACAGCATCAGGACAAGCGGCAAAATACACAGGTAGGACAATTCCAACGATGCGTGAAACGAGTCCATTCTCTATCGAGAGTGAAATATGTAGGTGTCTTCCCACCGCTACCGTCTTCACGCATATAGAATGCCTAGTGTTTATCGCTGTACAGAAACTGAAAATCGCACAAAATGCATGTATTAGTATGATCAGGCGTTCTATTCGTGTGAAAATGGTAGTAAGAGTCTGTAAGACCGAAAACATCCTTTCAGAGTTCACTAGTGGACGGTTGAGGTTGCAGAAAGATCCTTCTTTTTTTTCTTTTTTTTCTTTTCTTTTTTTTTTAACTGCCCTTAAGGTCCTGGCTCCATCTCCATTCCGGGGAGCATCAGTCCGGTTCCTTTTCCACCGGCAAGTCAAGAGAATACAATAGTAAACGCACACACTCTTCCTTCCGTCTGGCCGAAGGACCCCTGCACAGCATTGATTGCTCCATCTTCATGGAGGAGGTTGCAGAACAATTCCTAACTCAATCCATCAGGCAGAGTTTCAGAGAGCCAAAATAAGTAAAATAACCCACCAAAACTGACTGTTCAAGTCCTTCAGGACATCCGTTAAAATTGGAACGATACAGAGAAGATTAGCATGGCCCCTGCGCAAGGATGACACGCATAACTCAAGAAATGGTCCAAATTAAAAAAAAAAAAAAAAAAAAAAAANAAAAAAAAAAAAAAAAAAAAAAAAAGACATCGGCTGTTCACCAGCTCATCCTTTCTGCATCTGGAACTTTTTCACACCAAATGCTGTAAAACCCATTCCATCCTTGGATGGCTGTCTTCCATAGAGATCAAAAATTAATTCCAGACAAAGAACCTCCTATACCTGCTTCTTTCGCTCCCGCTCCTCTTTTTGCTCTAGTCGATAACGTTCCCTTTCCTCCTTTTCTTCCTGTGACAAAGGACCGCATGATGCCACATCAGAATTAGCTCTCTTATTCTGCAATGAAAACGCATGTGGACAAACAGAACTAGATCTACACCACCTTCGTTCAAGTCCCCAGAATCCAATAACACGAATGTCCATCAGATAAGTTCTCCGTTGTATGGTGCACGATTTTCAAAACATCGCCACCCCACAGGAACGGGAAACGGGCAGCAAACAAACGAAACTGCCCAGCAAGAGATGCCCACGGTGTAATTGCTTCTTCGCTGGCCCTCAAAGATGAGACCTGCGTTTTCTTTCTCAAACTCCCTTCTCTGTGTGGCTTTTTTTCCTTCTTTGATCATTGCTTGTTATAGCATTTTTATTCCCTCGTTGGATCATTGATTGTTATATCATTTTTTTCCCTTTCTTTGATCAGCAATTGTTATGTCATTGAACAATTGGGTTCACATCTTCTCAGGATTGGACTCACTCAGATCGTTTACTTCCAATCATAATTCCACTCAACTTGGTTACAGGGGTCATGAATGTGTTCACTATCGGCTTCATTTGATTTTTTATTAGATCCGCATAGTCAAGCCAACGGTCAGCGCTCCTTAATTGGTTGGCAACCAACCAGCCGACCGGTCCACCTGTCAGCACCTAACAGTCAGCTAGCTGCTGGTCGGCACTCCGCATTCAAAAGACAGAAGCGGCTTCGCTATTCGCTTTGTTTGATTTTATACTAGATAACCCACTTGCTTCTCAAGTTGTCACCCTTTTTCACTCTTTTACCTTGATACTGGTCATTTGCCGCTTAGATTGACGTAACTCAAGCTGAGTGTTTCCCCACAAGCAACACTATAAATAAGAAATGTTGAATTTCTATACAATAAACAGGAAATTGCAAATGTGGTACACTTACGCAATGCAAACTCTTCTAAACCTTGACTGGGGACCTACTGTCTTCACCCCAATAGAACATCAGGTCATTACAGCCGTATCTGGGCTGAAAATTGCACCAAATACCACTATAATAACCTGGTGTTCTATTCGGGTGAAGACGGTAGCAGTCTTGCAGAAAACTTGTACTCCGACCTCCTTATTGTGCAGTATGGGCAGGAGGCTCTGCACAAGAGTGCTCACAGAAACAACTGACAGCAGTAAGCCCTCTCCAAGAGGGCAGGGGACCAACCAGCTTCGAGAGGACCTACCACGGCATCCGACAACAAATTTGTGTTGCATAGCACCACAGGAAATGGTAGGCATCTTAACCTTGATACTCCCTGTGCACCATGGGAAAGATGGCCTGCTGGCCAAATTAAAGCCCACAGAAAGAGTTGTTGGTACCTTTGCTAAGCTGCCCAAAGGCGCAAAATTTCAAACAGCGCAGGCCGTGCTCAGGCCAATTACCAGATTCCTCTGGAACTCATAGAAAGTGCCACAAAACTCAGGGTTGCACAAACGAAAAGCGGCATCATGCTACCACGATGAGCATGCTAGCACGATGAGGTCTAAGGGAGAAAGAAAGAAAAAGTAAAAAAAAAGTGGATGCGTGCTCAGCAACTGAGACTGGCATTGGGTCACCTTGCGAATCTTACGTGTTGTGTTTTACCACGATGTTCAAGAATAATAAACAAAGGTTCATAGCAAGAGTGCAACCCTCAGCTTCCTTGGAAATGTCTCTCCTCAGCTCTTGGTCACAAGAAAGCGAAGTCCTTCCCGGTTCTCCCACAGGGCCTACCAGTATCAGTCCCTCAGTCCCCTAAGATTACAGCCCCATGCCAAGGGTACCATTTAAGACTTATTGGTTCCCCTTAAAGCTAATTCTGGAAGCATTCCTATCATCCAGAAAATGCTTCTCCAACTGGGCAGCAGCGGCCAGAACGATCCACGCAGCAGAGACATACCACATAAAGAACCAGACTTTTACAACCATGTCAGGAGTGAGGGTGGCAGTTGCGGAACAGATTCCCTGTCGAATTGACTCAGGGGAATCAGGGGAATCAGGGGAATCAGGGGACCTGTGAGTTTGCAAAGCAGTAAAAAGAGTGCCATATTATACTGAAGGCAATGGAAGGTCATAGCCACAGGCAAGCTAACAGGCATCATCTGCAGTCTACTTTCCAAGTTCGTGACTCTGTCTGAGTGAAAATTTAAAAATACAGACCTGCTTTGCAATCTGCTGCATCTGTTTTCTCCTCATCCGATCTTCCTGCTCCTGAAGTCTGCAATTAACACACACACACACACACACACACACACACACACACACACACACACACACACACACAAACACAAGCACGTGTTTTTTCAGACCACACATATGCAAAAAAAAAAAAAAAAAAAAACTACAGAAGGCTGAGAATTCTTGCAATATATTTACAAATCTCATCCACATAGACAAAGGTTTCGGAGTACCTTCTCAACCACGTGGAAGAAAATACCATACAAATATCTGGTCATCCTGGCAGCCAGGTGAATGTGAAGATTATCTTTACTAAAGTAGAAACAATATCATAAATAATTCCAAAAGATACCAGAATTCTCATTGGAGGCAGAAGCCCACATAACTATCCCAATGGTACAAACTGGTGAGGTATGCAATACAGAATCCTTCTTTATCAGTTTTAGAATAACACCAACGAGTTCCACTGTTGCAAGCAAGTGAGCATCCAAAGAAACAGCATAAAATTGCAATCTATGACATGTTTTGAGTTTTTTTGTGTGCATGTTCCTTCTCACCCATATTGCACCCTCCTTCGGACATCTGACAAGATCGCTATTCCTACTATGGAAGTATCATAGAAGATTACAGGAGTTCTTCCTCCTATGCTTAAACCACCCCGCCGCCGATTCATTTCATCTACGGCGCTCAACCTCCTAAATTTTCGGAGAGGCTAAGAACACTGGTGGTTTAATATCTCAGATTCTCAAGAATCTCAACCCTGTTGCTAAGATTGTTAATATTCAGCCTCTCTCTCTCTCTCTCTCTCTCTCTCTCTCTCTCTCTCTCTCTCTCTCTCTCTCTCTCTCTCTCTCTCTCTCTCTCTNTCTCTCTCTCTCTCTCTCTCTCTCTCTCTCTCTCTCTCTCTCTCTCTCTCTCTCTCTCTCTCTCTCTCTCTCTCTGACTCTCTCTCTCTCTCTCTTGTGCACTCAACAAGACAGAGGCAGTGTAGCACAAGACCACTTCCATCCCGCTGTGCTCTGCCCTACACAAGACAGGGGCAGTGCAGTGCAACACTGAGGCAGAGTGGTCAAAACTAATCTCAAAACACCATGAGCAGCTGGGTGTTGAGGTCCGAAATTGAAAGTCAAATTTTTTATTTGTTTGGCTCTTGAGGCCAAGGTCGCCGGTTCGAGTCCGTGCTTGCACAGAGGAGGGCTGAGGCCCAGAAGTACTGATCCAATGACAATGGAAAGTTCCCGTGAACTGGTGGGCAGTTAAAGTCCCACATAAGTGAGTGGACTGCCTTGCAGGAGTGGGGCGGATATCACGGCCGGTATGGTTCCGCTTTTGAACACCGTGTCCTGGCTGTAGTGGTTACGATACTTGGCTCTTGAGGCCGAGGTCGCCGGTTCGAGTCCGTGCTCACGGAGGGGGGCTGAGGCCCACAGATACTGATCCAATGACAAGTGTAAGCTGCTCTTCCACAAGAGTACTACAGGAAAGTTATGGCCTGACTCCATTACTCGACATTCAACATGTATCTGGACCGATCCATTTGGGCTGATGCAACATTTTAAATATAGCAGGACCGTTATCGCCTCCAGATACACTTATAATAAATGCATACAAGCGAATCGAAGCGATCTTTCCGGTTTGGAATGAGCATAATGAGGGTGTAGAGTAAGTGCCAACTACTGATAGGCCCAGACCCATCGGTACAAACCCCAGTAGGGGGGTCTAGGTTACTCTACCTAGACCCCCTTACCTCGTCCAAAGAAACTCAATCCCCCTGAAGTCAAAGATAACACATGCGGATTAATCGAATAGAGTGCAACCTATGCATTATATTCGTTTATAACACATGTATGCCTTATGTTCGGGGGAACACGATAGCAGTGTTATTTATTATTTAACTCCATAACCAAAAAGAACATGTTGTATATCGTCACATATCTATGAAGGAAAAGAGTGAGCCTTGCAAAACAAATGAAGAAAAGAGCAGACACCATGAGGCACACTGAAACCGTTCTTTTGGACTTTCCTGTCCAGTTGTTCTTTTCAATCTTTTTTTTTTTTTTGATCCTTTGCTTCTTCTTTCAGCTCTCCCTTTACTGAGCCTATCAGGTACAAGGCTCACCACATTCAGTACTCGACCACGAGCCGCCTACATCTGTGCGTCATAACAGCCCACTTGCATGCTGTAAAAAGGAGGCAGAGTACAGGGAGAGGAAATAGAGACAGGAAAGATGGAGCAAAGGAAAACAAAGGGAGAAAAAGGATGCTGAGTAAAGGGAGAGGGGACAGAGAGAGGAAAGATGAAGCAAAGGATGACAAAGGGAAGGTAACGTGTGTGGAATAAGAATGAGAGCATAAGGAAGAATAAGAGATGACTCAGGAGTCAGTCTGTTCCTCTGACAACAAAGAGTAAACACACAGTAGGGATGAGGTGGGTGCTGACATGGCCGAGCATTCTCAGCACACCAGCACAACGGCTGGCATCAACCATGCCCAGCAATGGGCATCACAGAAGACCATGCATTCATCATAACATTTGTGAAATTGTGACCATAAAAACGGACCAACAGGCATCACAGAAAGGACCAGGAGAAAGGAAGGACATACGATGCCTGGGCGTGAAGGGGCGCACAGGCCAGGAGAAAGGACCAATGGGCATGACAGAGACCATACATTCATCATAACATTCGGACATACGATGCCTGGATGCAAAGGGGCGAACAGTCACGAAAGGAGGGAAGGCCCTCTACACACATGGCTGCACAAATCCTGGCATTGTAGTGATTCTGGCAAGGAGGGACCATCATGTCCTTAGTCAAGGGTGACAGTACCTTTAGTTGTGCAGAGGAGAAAGTCACATTGTTGTCACACTGCCCTGCTGAGACACGCTGATAGCAAACTAATCCTCAGTAGTTCACCTAACATCTGCTTGCATTCAAAATCATCTACAAATCTCTGATGATCCCTGCTATCCAGAATAAAAGTAAGGACTTCAAGCCACCAGTGAAGACATTGTCAGCAGTCCCAAACACTCAGTGGAATACCAGCCCGCATATGCTACTCGAGTTGGTGATGCACCGTCAGAGAACAACTCTCGAGGAAACCAAGGAAACGTTGCTTGCAAGCAGAAGCTGAGCAGTTCGATGTTTTATTCAGACGGCATGCATGCCACCTTGAAAATGGCATCAGCTAAACCCGCCATAGGTAGGCGGGCAGGAGCGTCAGAATGATCAAATACAACAAAGTCACTTTGTGTGCTCCAGTCACATGCTTCAGAGCTGCATCGGGCTCGACAGCTTCTGTTTCAGAACAGATGGATTTTCTCACCTTTTCACCCTTGCCGATTCCTTGAGATGGCACTTTGCACACTGCCATCTGAAATTTGCCTGAGTGCTTTTCGCTGCTGCATCATTGTCCTAGATAACGGAACCAAGGAATGCACACAAGTTCAAACGAGTCGTAATCAGCAATAGGACGATTCATCAGCGAATATCAGAATCCCTGTTCACTAACATGCAAGTTGATGATGGAGACATGGTGTTGCATACCGTAATGATGCAGACCAGAACAAGAACCGACCTCTCTCACATAGTACAGGATAGCGCAGCGGAAGGCTAAAATACCAACGATCAACCCAATCCATGTCGCAATGCAGACCAAACACACATCATCATCATCGCAAGGTGTGAAGGGCCTGGCGCTACACAAAGAATGCGCCAGGCTCAAGCATACACAGACAGGGAAGAGGGGGATTAGACGAGGATGAGGGTGAAGATGGGAACGCCGTCAACACCAAGTCTTCGATACAGGTCCCAAATAATCCCTCGTCCAATGTCTCAATCCCATTGTCGAGTCTGAATCCAGATGTCGTCAAGTCCCAAAGTCACAAGTCTCTCTCTCTCTCTCTCTCTCTCTCTCTCTCTCTCTCTCTCTCTCTCTCTCTCTCTCTCTCTCTCTCTCTCTCTCTCTCTCTCTCTCTTCTAGTCTGCTGATACTGAGAAGTCAGGTAGCAAGAGGGTGAGGAAGAGATGGTAGACTTAGAAGAGGAAGAAGAAGACTCTCTCTTTCTCTCTCGTAGTCCGGTACTGACCTGTGAAGGTGGCGCTTGGTTGCAGGTACATCAAAGACGAAGCTGGAGCTATGGCGCCACAGGTAAGTCTCCCTGGCCTCCGCCAACCATCTCTCTCTTTCCAATGCTACTCTAGCTCCTAATAGCGCCCAGCGCTGAAGACTACTGCTAACACTACTACTACTACTGCAGCGCTCCTCCAGAGTGCTGCTGCCGAATCCTGAAGACTACCTCCTGCCTCCTGAACTGCACGTGAAGTGCTTGGGAAGTCCCTATGAACCACCTCGTGACTCCCTGCAGCCTGCAGGGCGGGCCAGTCTTATATAGTGCTGGCCCGTCCAGGAGGCTGCTCTCGCCAAAGCCAAAACGTGCCAGACCCTGGTGTTGAAGGTCAAACAAAGGTTGTCTTGAAAACAGGCCCAAAATGGCCTGTGCTAAAACCCTGGTCTGGTGCCTAAGTTTCAGGGCAGGTCGACTTTATGAGGCCCTGAAAATGGCCCTCGTTTTCAGGCTTTTAGGCTGAAACGACACAGGGCCTGTAGGCCCTCGTTTTCAGGCTTTCAGGCTGAAAACGACACAGGGCCTGTAGGGCCCTTACTTTTCCTTGTTTGGTCGGGCCTTGCAGGCCCGTGTGGATGCGCAGTATGCCACACA